AGCCCGAAGTGCGGCCAAACCCCGGATTGGCCGGCCAATGCGCGGATTGGCCGGCTCTCTTGGCCAAAGCCCGAAGAACTTAGAGCTAAGATCGTATTTCGTACATTGGCCGGCCAATGCGCGCACTGGCCGGGACGTACTGGCCAAAGTCCGAAGTGCTTAAACTTGACAGCATATTTTGTACATTGGCCGGCCAATGCGCGCATTGGCCGGGATGTCCTGGCCAATGTTCTATCTAGACTAAGTTGTGATCGCGTTTTCATTATTCTGGGTGCGGTTTCATTGTGAGTAACGTATTGTTTAGCTCTTGTTTGTATAGCATTCTATATGCAAGGTTACATGGATCAAAAGGGCCGTCAGACCATGAGACAGACATAGCAGATGGCTGTCAAAAGAAAAAAATGTAAATCCATGTTAGTTTCCATATATGGGCTACAACTTTATGTGACAGCCTCCTCCATGATGACGAGGTGAGAAAATCATCAAAGAACAAAATCAAAGACAGTCAGCGTCACCGACGGAACGTTCAAAAGACTTTGCCGCGTTCCTTGTAAGTTGAACAATAGTGTCCAAGCTACTTGAGATGGCGTGGGCGTCAGAAACCATATTTCCCCAACAAAAGGGGAATACCAAAGAAAGCAGACCCAACACCGTGCCTTGACTGGACTGAATGATAAATACCGACAGAATTGCATTCCAGATTTCTTTGCACAGCGGATTACTTGACTGTTTAACACTACGTTTGCTTGATTGTGGAGTCATTTGTGAATCAAGTTATTTTTTAACTAAAGAACATGTGGCCTGAACTTAAACTAGTTCACGGAAAACCAAGACATATCCAAAGACATATCCAAAGCCAAGGTTCAGTCGAACGTGCCAACCAAGATGTTCAGAACATGATGATGACATGGATGCAAGCAAATGAATCAGCTCATTGGGCTGAGAGTCTCAAATTCATTCAATTTATGAAAAATCGTTCTTTTCATCAAGGAATCCAACAATCACCATACGAAGCCTTGTTTGGATGCAAAGCAAAAGTGGAACTTAGCACTTCTATTCTACCAAGAGAGGCTCTCAATAAAATAGTTACTGAGGAAGATCTTGAGAACATTGAACAAGAAATGGAGGTTGCCATAAATGCAACTACATCCTCAGCTAACACATCTACTGCCGTAGCGGAACGTCCAGACCAGTTGCGTGACAATAATGTGGCCAACAGATTCTGTATAGTTTGTGAAAAACATTGTAGTGCAGCTCAATCTTGTGGATCCTGTGGCAAAGATGTCCATGCTATTTGTGGAATACCCAATGAAGCAGACGAAGGGTACGGAGGGAACATTACCTGCAGATTGTGTCACAACAAACAAGACATCATGGAACACAGGTCAGAAGCTCATACTGGCTTGCTTAAAACATCAAATACAAAATTTAAAGATGGTGAAGTGGGTGACAATGTACGCATCCGTTTTCCAGATGTTGACAGAGGTCGCGGTGATCCCCGAAGCGTGATTGCAGTTGTCATGAGCGTCGAGGGCGGTTTTTACAAATTAGGAACGGAACATGGTGTTCTAAAACAACTGTATGCTAGAAGTGAGTTTTCAATTCTTCACGAAAAACTGCTCTTATTGTCGTCAGTTGACACTGAGGAAAATTCACTACGAACCATCGCATCTTCACAATCATTGACTGGGGGCCAAGGCTACACTCGCTGCAATTGCACAACTAAGTGCACAACAAATCGCTGCAAGTGTAAAAATAACAAGCTGCTATATCATTCTAAATGCCATAAAAGTTCAACTTGTTGTAACAAATGATAATATTGATTGATTGAGACTATAGTACAATAAAAAATTTGAATTTTTCTGTCATTTACTTTAATTAATAATCAATAAAGACTTAATTTCATGATCCTACCGGCATAAAAAAAAAAATCTGCTCATGATCTTCTAATTAAGACTTTGGCCGGTCCACAATGGCCAGTCTGCGGATTGGCCGGCCAAAGGCCGAAATGAAGCAAAGTTTCGGACTTTGACCGACCTATGGGAGGCGATATTGGCCAATGCGCGGATTGGCCGGCCAATCCTAGCATTGGCCGACTTCGGGCTTTGACCGTAACATATATATATATATATATATATATATATATATATATATATATATATATATATATATATATATCTAATATATAAAGCTCAGTTCTGTATGTAATGCATTTGTATGTCGTTGGAATTGTACGAATTTAAAAGTTAGAAAATTATCGTGCGCATTTGTCTAAATTTATGAGCTAAAAAATTACTATTGAAAGTGTTGGGAAATAATTTTCATTTTTCAAATTATAGTAATAATTGTCGGCATGTTCATTAAACACAAGTTTTAAAAAAAAATATCATCTTTTACAAAAATTCTAATTATGTCTTTATTTAGTCCTATAGCACTTACTTCCCTTTGATAAATTAGGAAAAACACAATTACTTCCCTTTATAAAACCATTGCATTCCGTGAAAATAATTTACTTTTTAATTACTTTGTTTTGGTGTTGGGGAAAAAAAAATTACATAATTAGCGGGGATTGATCAAGTGCAAATGTTGTAGGTATTTTACGGATAAGCTTGGAGTATTAAAATTGTTTATTAAATTGAAACAGGCGCGTTCGTTTAAGTGAGTGCAAAAGACTGTGAATAAGTTGGGGTACTATAGTCGTTCATTAAGCTAAAACAGGTGATTCCGCCCCGGGCTTTTATGTTCGCGTTAGTGTTTTCTTTGTGTTTAGGTGGGTTTGCGTTAGTGGTTGCGTTTTAATTTGGTTCGTTTTTGTTCTTTCTTTTTTCGTTTTTGTTTGTGTTTTTTTTTTGTTTGGGTTTGTATTTGTGTTTTTGGTTGGTTTTGCGTTTGGATTTGGTTTGTTTTCGTTTGCTTTTTTCGTTGACTTTTTTTTGTTGGTATTGGTGTTTGTGGTTGGGTTTGTTGTTAGGTTTTTGTTTTCGTTTGCTTTTTTGTTTGTTTTTTCTTTGTGTTTGTATTGGTGTTTGTGGGTGTGGTTGTGTTTGTTGTTAAGTTTTTGTTTTCGTTTGTATTTGTAATTGTGTTAGCGTTATGTTTGCGTTTTGTTGTTTTGGTTTTGGTTGGTTGTAGTTTGGGTGTGCAATGCCGGGTTTATGATGATTACTAAACACACAGGTAATGGTCTTTAACAGAAAGGTTTTTCACAGAAGCCAGAGCAGGGCCTGGCCGGGACGGCTAGTATATATATATATATCCTTTACGAAACAGAGTGTGTTAGCTACTGTAGGACATCACTAATGTAGTAGATCGGTTGTTTTTTTACGAGAAAATTTTTTTTAACTATAAAAAAATGATTATGGTCGGCTGTGGGCTCCAAAACGGCCTTGGACACCCCACATTGCGGGGTCTGGCGGCACTGTAGTTCCGCCACTGAGTGGTACCACACATGACTACAAGGCAAACTTATCAATAAAATACAAACAAAAACTGAAAATGTGAATGAATCAATCAGGTAGGATTAAAACAGTGTGATGTCACACTGTTGTTCCCCCCCTCGTTACATTATACCGTCACATAAGTCCAGTGCCGGCGCCAGGTTATTTAGCGCCCTAGGCAAAGCTTATTAAAACGCCCCCCCCCCCCCCGTTAGCAATTTTATTTTTCGGTCCCCATATATATATATATATATATATATATATATATATATATATATATATATTTATATTGTTGGGTTCTTCTGTCTAAGTCTAGGGGTATATTAGAGCAACTGGCAGCATACACCAGAGTAAATTCACTGGATAACAATACTAAGCAATAATAATAACTTTAATATATATACATATATAAGAATAAATAATATGAAAATAATAGCAGATACTATATGCTTTAACACAACTGATGATACTGAACACGACCCCAGTCACAGCCACGTCTTGTCACAACCACGTCTACATCCACACTCTACCTGCCTCACACACTGGCACACGCTCTGACACCCGTCAACTGACACACCTGACGTGAACACCTCTCGCTCCATGTAACCACACTCAACCAAGGGCTACAACCATACTAAAGGGGTGGGGGGGGGGGTAACTGTCGCTCAAGCACACAACACACACACACACACAAGCAGGGGACATGTAAGGGACACAACATATATATATATATATATATATATATATATATATATATATATATATATATATATATATATATATATATATATATATATATATATATATATATATATATATAAATGCAGACTCAAATCATTACGGACTTCTTTAAATTTGTATGTATCAATTGTGTGACACCAAAATAAAAAGGCAAAGTAACTGGTAAACGGCGCCCCGACCTTTCCAACTGGGGGGGGGGGGGAAGCATTTTCACCGAAGCGAATAGCTAATAATAGGCCTAATTGAGGAGTGGGCGTATAGTCCTTGATGGGCAACTAAATACATCGCTACGTCTTTGAATATTACCCTTTCTGTAGTTTATATAATATAATCAAAGTTATTAATTATTAGGTACTTCTTTATTAGGCCTATAGCAATTACACATTTTGCGCCCCTATGGATGGCGCCCGAGGCGACCGCCTAGTTCGCCTTATAGGTAGTGCCGGCCCTGCATAAGTCCGAACTCCCCCCCCCCCCCCCCCGAACGACTGGAATTTATATAGAAAACATACTTTTACCAGTGTTCACCCCCTGGAAAATGTTAACCGCCCCCCTCCGGAAAATATCAAGTGCCCCAACCACCCCCCCCCCCCGGAGAAAAAAGTCTGGAAGAAACACTGGTCTCATTTTATTGACTTTAGTCCGTACCCTGATTTGTTTTCGCAATTAGTTCTTTAATCTACATTGTCTAGATCTATATCCGTCCGGAATCCTCCCTTCACAATAGACTGCATAACAACAGTCCAAGGCCGAGAATTTTGTTTTTCACGATGAAAATGAAACCTCTATTCTTAGAAGGGCAATTTTTATTTAGGACATTTTTTTTAGAAGAACCACGATCTGTCTGTGGTAGAGCGTTCTTTATCGCGCATCCTGTGATAAATCAAATATCTACCTGCAAACAGTTGGTAAATTACTAAAAATAGTCTAACATTCCTCGATTAAAATTACTAGAATCGAATTCTAATCATGATGAACAAATAGAATAATAGATGTATCAATCTAGATTACTCTTCTACTAGATCTAGTCTTCTAGACTCTAGGACTATCTAGCTAGACTCTAGTGTCTAGACCTAGATCTAGAATCGACCTAGATTCTAGATCTAGAATCCAGTGTCCTAGAGTCAGTCTACTAGTCTACTCTAGTTCTAGATCTAGCTAGATTTGGAGAAGATCTAGAATCTATATTTATCTAGTATTATAATATATTATTATAGGCATTTAGGGTATTTTTAGAAATTTAAATCTAATCAAATAAATCTGTTATAGGCCGGTGATGGTAAAGTGCGAGATGCGAAATTGCGAGGCAGTAAATTGCAAGAAGGTGCGAAAACCACCGGTCATGTTACATTTTTGTCTCACATCTTACCTCCACCTGATACCTAGGCTAGTGGGGTTAGAATGCGAATATATACCGCACCCGATTACAATGAACTTAAATGCAGACTTCAAAGGCGTTTCGTTATTCCGATTTTTCCGTCGCTTGACTTGCTGATGATTTATGAACTTCTTTCTTTAGTGTTGACTTAGAATTCCATCTTGTTCGAAATAGCCCGACGTGCCGAAGGTAGATCGCCTTTGAACATCACCGTGCTCGAAGCTGCTGCCGCCACAAACATATGCTGTATTGTTACAAAGTAATTGTGTATTACCGCCGTATTTAGGCATACATCGTATTTTGTTGATTTAAAAAAATGTTTATAATTAAAATTAGTTAATAATAAAAATTCAATTACACTTTTAAAAAACCTGATGGTGTCGTCACCCCCCCCCCCCCGTAAAAAAACAATATATATACTCTTTATACACTTGTAAGTATGTGTATATGCATGTGTATATGTATTCAAATATTTTTTTCTGCTGGGTGTATTTAATTTTTTTTCACCCTTCCCCCACCCCACCCCATACATGGATTAACATTTAGCTTATTACGATTCTCAACCAAACCGTTTTCCTCAGGCATATATAATGCAACGTTGCGAGTTGATGTAGCTCTTGTCACCCCCACGGTGATTGCTTTAAACTGTGCTCAGATAATACTAACGATTTGTATCTATATTCGGTTATAAATTCAGCTGGATGTTGCATCACATAGAGGTGACACCAACTATTTACAGAGGAAAAGATGTGACTGGTCAATCAACAACCAGGGTGGGGGTGTCACCAGATCTAATAATTTACTATGAAAACGTTAATTAATAGGTATATATATATATATATATATATATATATATATATATATATATATATATATATATATATATATATATATATATATATATACAAATATATATATATATATATATATATATATATATATATATATATATATATATATATATATATATATATATATATATATATATATATATATATATATATATATATATATGCCTATATCCTATACTTTTTTTTTTGTTGGGGTGGGGGTGGGGGGCAATTAGTCCCAACAAGCCCCATGGTAATGGTTCCATGCTTTCCACTAGCGAAGTGCACATAAAAATGTTAGTGGCTCTTTAAAACTTGTGTAGATTGTAACTTTTGGCTCTTCCGCCTCAAAAGGTTACCGACCCCTGACCTAGATCAATGTATGCATTGACTGACCATTCAAACGGTGTTATTATTTGGCGTAGGTAAGAAAACATAAGCCGGCGAGAAGCGGGCGACAAATTGAAATTTTAGAATTTTAAATATAGATCTAGACTTCTAGATCTAGATGTTTTTTTTTTTAAATAGTCAGAAGTAATATTCTCTTTGCTAACTCACATTGACCCGTCGATGGGGACGGGATCAATCGCCAGCTGACAGGAAAACTTAAGTGGGCGATCATAGGAGTAGGAGCAACGGTGTTAAGATTTTTTAATATCATAAAAAAAATTTCAACTAGATCTAGATCTAGATCTAGAATCTAGTCTAGATCAAGACTCAAAAAAAAAAAAAAAATAGAGAAAAAAACAACTACAAAAAGCATAATGATAAAACTAAAAAAAATGTCTCAAAAATTGTTTCTCGCTATTTAGTATTTACCCGTGATTCCGCAGGGGGTCATCCATAAATGACGTCACGCTTTTTTGGACGATTTTTACCTCCCCCCCTCCCCTCCGTCACACGTCGTCACAAAAAGCCAGACCCCCCCCTAAAATGACGTCACACCTCAACCTACAACCCCCCTCAAAATTGCAGTTGAATTTTTTTTAAACATCGATATTTTTCCGAAATCTTGTCTAAACTATTACAATTTATTAAAACAGTTATCTAAAACGCGAAATAACGTCTAAAATTCGGTTTCTAACATTGCTTTTTTATAATGCAAAAATGTGACGTCGCAACATCTGAACCCCCCCCCCCCCCCTCCCCCTCATCACACATCGTCACAAAATTACGGACCCCCCCCTCCCCCCTACGAGTGTGACGTCATTTATGGATGACCCCCAGGTAGATCTAGATCTAGATCTAGACTAGATCTAGATCTAGATCTATGTCTCGCATTTTCGAAACATGATTTACCGCCTCGCCATTTCGCAATTTACCAACACCCTATCTATATATATAAAGCAAAGTGGTCAGGTGCCCGATAGGGCACTTCCCGGCGCCGCAGGCGCGTCAAATTTAGCACGATGGTGCCTTGGGGAATTAGAACACGAGGGCCGGTGACGGTTTGCCGAAAAGTCCACGGAGAGGGGGTCAAAACTGACCTGGACTGACCGGCGCCTTATATGGGCTATATTACGAAAAAAAAATTTCCTCCGACGACCCCCCTTGAAATTTTGTGTGGTGGTAGGAGAACGCCTTGGGATGTCCCAAAAAACTCGCCATGTCCGGGAAAATTCGTTAAATGGGTCAAAACTGACCAGTCGTATTTCCCTATATAATCTTTGTATTTTATGGGAAAAACAGAGGGTGATTTCAAAACGGATTTGAGGGCACTTACCGTCTTTACATCTGGCTAATTTTTTGCATGCTCTTGGGTAAATGGCTTGACCTTTAGGGAAAACTGTCGGTTTCACTCAAAGCCCTCGACGAGGGCTAAAAAGTGACCGCGAGTGAAATTCTCTTTATATGAGCTCTATTACAAAAAAAAATTTCCTCCGACGACCCCCCTTGAAATTTTGTGTGGTGGTAGGAGAACGCCCTGGGATGTCCCAAAAAACTCGCCATGTCCGGGAAAATTCGTTAAATGGGTCAAAACTGACCAGTCGTATTTCCCTATATAATCTTTGTATTTTATGGGAAAAACAGAGGGTGATTTCAAAACGGATTTTAGGGCACTTACCGTCTTTACATCTGGCTAATTTTTTGCATGCTCTTAGGTAAATGGCTTGACCTTTAGGGAAAACTGTTGGTTTTACTCAAAGCCCTCGACGAGGGCTAAAAAGTGACCGCGAGTGAAATTCTCTTTATATGAGCTCTATTACAAAAAAAAATTTCCTCCGACGACCCCCCTTGAAATTTTGTGAGGTGGTAGGAGAACGCCTCGATGTGTCCCAAAAAACTCGCCATGTCCGGGAAAATTCGTTAAATGGGTCAAAACTGACCAGTCGTATTTCCCTATATAATCTTTGTATTTTATGGGAAAAACAGAGGGTGATTTCAAAACGGATTTTAGGGCACTTACCGTCTTTACATCTGGCTAATTTTTTGCATGCTCTTAGGTAAATGGCTTGACCTTTAGGGAAAACTGTCGGTTTCACTCAAAGCCCTCGACGAGGGCTAAAAAGTGACCGCGAGTGAAATTCTCTTTATATGAGCTCTATTACGAAAAAAATTTTCCTCCGACGACCCCCCTTGAAATTTTGTGAGGTGGTAGGAGAACGCCTCGGGGTGTCCCAAAAAACTCGCCATGTCCGGGAAAATTCGTTAAATGGGTCAAAACTGACCAGTCGTATTTCCCTATATAATCTTTGTATTTTATGGGAAAAAGAGAGGGTGATTTCAAAACGGATTTTAGGGCACTTACCGTCTTTACATCTGGCTAATTTTTTGCATGCTCTTAGGTAAATGGCTTGACCTTTAGGGAAAACTGTCGGTTTCACTCAAAGCCCTCGACGAGGGCTAAAAAGTGACCGCGAGTGAAATTCTCTTTATATGAGCTCTATTACAAAAAAAAATTTCCTCCGACGACCCCCCTTGAAATTTTGTGTGGTGGTAGGAGAACGCCTTGGGATGTCCCAAAAAACTCGCCATGTCCGGGAAAATTCGTTAAATGGGTCAAAACTGACCAGTCGTATTTCCCTATATAATCTTTGTATTTTATGGGAAAAACAGAGGGTGATTTCAAAACGGATTTGAGGGCACTTACCGTCTTTACATCTGGCTAATTTTTTGTATGCTCTTGGGTAAATGGCTTGACCTTTAGGGAAAACTGTCGGTTTCACTCAAAGCCCTCGACGAGGGCTAAAAAGTGACCGCGAGTGAAATTCTCTTCATATGAGCTCTATTACAAAAAAAAATTTCCTCCGACGACCCCCCTTGAAATTTTGTGTGGTGGTAGGAGAACGCCCTGGGATGTCCCAAAAAACTCGCCATGTCCGGGAAAATTCGTTAAATGGGTCAAAACTGACCAGTCGTATTTCCCTATATAATCTTTGTATTTTATGGGAAAAACAGAGGGTGATTTCAAAACGGATTTTAGGGCACTTACCGTCTTTACATCTGGCTAATTTTTTGCATGCTCTTAGGTAAATGGCTTGACCTTTAGGGAAAACTGTCGGTTTCACTCAAAGCCCTCGACGAGGGCTAAAAAGTGACCGCGAGTGAAATTCTCTTTATATGAGCTCTATTACAAAAAAAAATTTCCTCTGACGACCCCCCTTGAAATTTTGTGTGGTGGTAGGAGAACGCCCTGGGATGTCCCAAAAAACTCGCCATGTCCGGGAAAATTCGTTAAATGGGTCAAAACTGACCAGTC